CCCTAAGATTTATAGAGATTTCTAAAAAGTTTTAATTGAGCACATCATGACTTTTAGAGACTTTTTAAAAGTTTATAAAATTTTCAATTGAATACATCAATATTTTTAGATAGTCTCCAAAAGTCTACATTAAATACCCATAAACTTTTAAATCCCAAAAGTCATTAAAAATCTCAATTGAACACACCCCTCAAGTACCACTTTATTAGAGAAGTAATTGAAAATGGAGACGTTCAACTCGATTATTGCAGGTTCAAAGAGCAAGTTATGATATCCTCACTTGTAAGGTTTCTTTATAAGATGCAACTATATTAAGCAGGTATATGTTATCGTAACCAAATAAAGAACGGATACCCACAATATTTGAACTAAGAAAATATCAAACTGATTATTTCTAATTGAATAAAAGTAACCAAACTTGTCTAACGTAAAAATAGAAATCAAATTTCGTCTAAAAGACGGTACCGCAAATATGTCTTTCATATTCAAATCATAATCGGTCTTTAATAATAACCTAAAAGTCCATATAGCCTCAAACTTAATTGATTTCGTTGCCCCACATAGATGAATCTTACAGTATCAATTGGCTTTTGGTTGTTCAGTCAACCTTGCATAGACACACTTCTGTGAGTGGTGGAACCAGAATTTTATCCATTAAGTGTGTCTAGGTATTGAAATTAAATTAACCTTAAAACAAACCAAAGTGGGAGGTGTACTTTTCTTTACATGTCAAGCGTGGTATTTAGTATAGTCTCTCTTTATGTATCTGAGATTTTCACAAAAGTAACAGCCAAAATTTTCCTTTTCAGGCTTTCGATGTTTATTTTGAACCGAACCGAATGCAGCTTTCTTATTCTTTATAACTTGTCCTTAGTTGTACTTACCAAGTGAGCAATAAGTTTTGTCTTGCTTTAGCCTTTTTTTCTTACACACAATATGGAATGAGCTCGTTAAGAGTTCACTTTCCCTTTTGATAGTTGTAACTAATTTTAAATTAGTCGAATTGTGCAAGAATAGAAATCAAAACTAAATGCACGAGTAAGTCATCAGACATCTCAACCTTTAATGCTTTTAGTTTTGAAATAAGATGAGACATCTCCATGATATACTCCCTTAAGTTTTCTTTACCCTCATATTTTAGTGAAACTAAGTTCGCTAAAAGCGTGTTGTTTCGGCCTTATTGACTTTTGGAAAGCGTTTTTTTTTTTTAATTTCATCAAGAAACTCTTTGGCAGTAGTTACATTATCGGACACAACGTCCCTGAATGCTGTGGAATTTCACATTTCATGATCATAAAACTTATGCGGTTTGATTGATCCCACTTATCCGAGTCCCATTTTTATTAACGGAAGTTTTATCCGTAAGAGTATTGGGATGTTCACTCCTAAATGCAAGGTCTAGATTCATGCCGCCAAGAACAATATAAACGTTCTCTTTCCAGCCCTTAAACTTTGGTTCCAGCACATGAATAAAATTGATGTTGGCAGATATTGTAGAAGTTGATAGATTAACTAAATATATAACTTAAACATAATTAACATGTTCACATAGGAGTCTATATTGGACAATCAACAATTTCAAATAATGGTGAACCTCCTCACAAGAGATCGAGCACAACATTGATATTTAGTCTTTGGACAGAAATATTAACTTGTAAGTGATATTCTTGGCGTAGTAATCAAATATTGACAATAAATTCTATCAAACATCAAGTTTATCTTGGATCGTGAGCCACAAGTGTACTACCTTTTGTTTTGATTGGTAATTTGAGCAATGGTCTTTTCACTCATGGATTGAGTAAAAGAGAAAAAAAAGTTTTCCAGAGGGATTAATGTCTTCTGAGTTATTTTTATTGGGGCAAGTACAACTACCTCTTGTCACATGTTATTTGGGAAGCTTCTCTAAAAGCAGACATTTTGGTGAAATTATTGCATTGCTATTATAAGCGATGCTTACCTACCGGTGATGTAACATAAATTGATTTGTCATCTTAAATTCTACGTTCTAAATGGCAAATCAATAAGATCATATTACAATTTATGGATAAACAATGTTGACGAAATTATTCTTGAATATATAATAGTCGCGTTTCAAAATCCCATTTAGGCAAAGTGAATATCGGTTAGAATTAATTCCTCTTAATTTAATTGATTTGCATATCATCTCATATATCCCTCTCTACAAACCCTTGACCTGTCATAGGTCGCTGTTGTTCCATTGCTATCAACCTTATATTGATAAAGTTTTTTAAACAACTAACCCAACCATATCAAAAGTCAAAATGATAATGAAGTTAGATAGTTTGGTTGGTAATCATTCTCAACTATTATTTTTTTCTGGGTTATACTATTCTTTCAAAATCGTCGTTGGAATTTATAAGTCAAATCTTATTCGATTATGAAAAGAAGGGTGTAAAATTTATACTAATCGTCGTTGGAAGTTGAATTCAGGTCATTCGAAGGCGACGAACAACTTTATCACATGTAAATTCTAGTAACTACAATTAAAGTTCCCTGCAAAGATTTCAAGTGCATAATTAGAACACTTAAGAAAAATCTTTCTAATTCAATTATGTCTACAAACTTAGATTGTTATCTAATTCAAGAATTAGAGAATCATTATTCAAGACGGTTGGCATAAATTAATGTCGACATTTTATTGATGATTATTAACCACAATTTGATTTATAAAAAGTATGGAGTAAAAATGACTGCTATAAGTTCTTTTTATTTTTAATTAAAGTACTTAATTAAAAATGACTCTTATTTAATTATTAAAGTAATTTATTTTATTTATATAAAATTTATGTTTACTTTTAGGTTATGACTTATAAGTACATTCCAGTTCACAATCAAATATGAAAGTAGTTCTGTTGTCGATTTTTTTCTGTAAGTGGATGCATAGTTACGAATAACAAAGTGATGAACATAATATGGCTCCCACAAAACTAATTACATATTTATATACTTAATTAAACCTAGGTCTATTTCAAGAAAAAAAAAATAGTAATTTTTAAAGTGGATTTTAACTGATTATAATTATCTATTAACACAATGAAACGAACAATTTCTTTGAATTAATCATACTGCAAAACACACTAGAATCCCGAATTCACTATTTTTAACATACTTTCATCTTCAACTACATGTTTATAGCCAGTTCTTATTTTATGTTACCAATCGATATTCCTTATGTGATAGTTTTATCTCTGGACATAAAAGAAATCGATTCTTAAATTGTGCAGAAATTGTGTTAATTTTTCTTTTTATCATTTTATGGACAAAACTGAAAATTTTGGGGATCTAAAATAATTTGGCTAACATATTGCACACTTTTGAGCAAGTTAGATTGGATTTTTGGATAGTCATAAAACTTCAAGATAATGTTTTCTAAATGCTGTTGCTTGCAGCTTAACACCAAGGGCTCATCAAGATTTATAATGCATCTCATGATATTTAGAACATCAAAAGCATTTGTACTTTCATTTTTTATGTTAATGTTGATCTCATCTTTCATTTTAAGTATATGTACTTTCATCGTTTTCTTTTACTCTTGATTCTTTTTATTTTCTGAATTGTTTAGATCCCATTCAAGGATGAACATAAGTGTGCAGAAGTTCTATTTTCCCATATGGCTTTACTAGACTATTCCTTATTGCCTAAGCGTGCTTTGGTTTGCTATTGTTTTAGTTTGTCTCCTTACCTAGTTAGTGCCTACATTGTCTTATGCACCAACACATTGCATTTTAATGTCAAAAGTAGAGTTTTGACCCTATGTAGTGTTCATATTTTTTACCATGTAGCATTATCTATGGTGGCGTGTTGAAGCTTGATTCTGTAATTTTGTTGATTGGAAAACAAATTTGGAGTCTGAAGTTGAAATTGTCTGAATTGTGCATTGATAGGTGCTTCATTTTCGTTTTCCATTGAGGTTGAACCTAAACATGTACACAAGAGAGCTTTTCATACATTGATAAGGAATGTATGAATTATCTAAAAAGAGAGAATATCCATGGGATCCCTCTGAACTGCCCAGTTTTTAGTGAAAAATATATATAAATTGAGTTGTGGGCAATTATCGTCTACAAAATATCGTCACAAATTTAAGCCAACAATCTTGAACAATGATTATACAAATGCTACAAAGCACTTGCATCAAGGAATTTCAGAATTCTTTAATTTCATAACGATATAAGTTTTCTAGATATATTGAATGAGAAAGATTTTTGGGAATATTTTAATTGAGCGATTTGAAAATCTGTGTAGGGCATTATAATTTTTTTTAAAAAATAAAAGAAACGACACATCTTTCGCATAAATGACATAGTCGAGCATTCCAAGATACAAGCAATCAATTTAGTAAATTAAGGATGACATTTTTTCTTTGAGGTTTAAATGCATTCAACTACATATGGTATTTTAATTACAGTTAGTCGGTTACTATTATTTCTGTCACATATTCATGCTCTAATGACTCGAACTAGAGTCTCTATATAGAATAGATATTTCACCCTCCTCTCTACTATCAGAATATGTTCTTATAAGGTTTAAATGATACATTAAACATAAATTTTAAGGACCTGGGATCCCCAACCTTTGCGCAATAGTACAAGAAAGCCTCTACTTTTCGTATCTCAACCTATCATATTTTGTTCTTTAAACTTGAATTTTGTCTTTATTTTGTTATTATTTGGACCGTTGTTTTCATGTATATTCTAAATTTCTGTCTAAACAAATTTTCACGAGTTGTATTATCTAATCAATACTCTCTTGTATATTTCCAAAATATATGCATTATTATAAATACAAAAAAAAAAATCATCATAAACCATTGTTATAGACAACACTTCCATAATGGAAAACATCAGCAAACAAAATCATAAGTTAAATGAAGTGCTTTACCCAACAAAATAACAACTTAACACACAATCTAGAAAGTGTTTTACCCAACAACATAATATCTTTGACAATGTGGTTTATCTACAGCTCCTTTAAGTGAGCTAAATTGGATGAACAGACCTCTGAATCCTTTCTAGTTCTTTTGCCACATCTATTATGTATGGCCTATCTGCTCCTCTTTCAACAGTACATCTCAAAGCAAGTCTCAACAAAGCCTGGAATTGATGCTCTATTTCGCCTCTCTCCTCTAAAATTATTGGGTCCAAAATTTTACCGAACTCATTCTTGTCAACGTGGTTTTGTACATACCCCACTAAATTTTCAGGTCCTTCAGGATGTTGATACCAAGTGTCAAGAGCAGTTAAGAGTTGAAGGAGAATAATTCCAAACATGTAGACATCACTCTTTTCTATGATAATGCCTGTTGTAATGTAGTCAGGTTCAAAATGTCCAAACATCCCAACAATTTCTACTTCCACCTGTGATTCTCCGGGAGGCAATGCTACGCAGAGTGAGAAATCGACAAGCTTAGCAACACCATTATTGTCTATGACAATGCTTTTTGTGGTTAGATCTCTATGGATGATAGGCGTGGGAAATGCAGTATGAAGGATAAACAAGAGCATTTGCAACGTCTCTTGCAATTTTTAGTCGATTACTCCAAGAGAGTGATCTACCAATATTATCCCTTTCTTTCTTTATATAAAGAAGGTCATACAGAAGTCCACAATTGATCCCGATTTCGTAGATAATAGCGGGAATTTCCAAATCTAAGCAGCAACCCAAGACCTTCAAAACATTTTTGTGGTGGTTCATCAGCACCGTGACTACTATGTCGTTGACAGCATAGGACGCCAATTGGCCGTTACCAAAAAAATGGAACTTCTTCACCAGAATAGACCGTTGCTGAAAAATGCCGCTGATGTAATAGCCCGTTAAATCACGCATAGCATGTCTAAAATCACGCATAAAAGGAACTTCTTCACCAGGGAAATCAACGTTTGTTGCTTTATTAAGTTCTTCAACTGTAAAGACACGATAAGGAATGTTATACTTTCCATTAGAGAAAGCAATAAGCCCTTCCTAACACCTTGCCTCCATTTTCAATATACCAAGGCGATAATTTCAATTTCTCATTCCTCATTTTCAAGAACCTTATCTTTCTTTTCACCCACTCCATGAATAATTACAAATGAGGAAACAACCCAAGTCTTCAAAAATCTTCAGAAAAAGAAAAAAATATAATTAGATGCTGCTGCAACAGTGGAACTTGAAGGAGTTAACAACTTTTGGGGGTAACTTTAAATAGCTTAGTCAAAGCACCTAAATTCCACATTGACTTTTCTTCTCTTTTATAATTCCAAAGTGGTCTATTTGAGTTCAAAAGACAAAAAAATCCTTAAGTGAATAAAACAATTACAAAATATGGTTTGATTAAAAAGATATTACTATCATTTTAATTAACAAATAAAAATCAAACACTCCCTTCTTAAAATTACAAAATCAGCTCCAACACAGATAAAAACTGTCACATCTTCTTCATTCTGAAAATCTCAAAAATATCGATAGTTGAAGAAAAAAATTGTTTTCTGTCAATTATTTCGAATCGGTAAGTATATTTACGTATATTTAATTTCATTTTCGTTAAATATATATATATATACACGTTTTTACTTAATAAATTAAGATTCGATATAGGTAACAAATATATAATTTTTTTAGCAGATGTATAATTTTTAAGCATGAACGAAAAAAAAATTATTTGTATAACTTTCCGATTAACAGCCTTAACGACTGTTACAAAAAAAACAATCGGAACAACTCATTTTTTGGCTGTTAACAGTCGAAAAAATCGAATGTTACTCTGCGTCTGTTTGAATATTTTTATCATAACTTTTGTTTTCGAAATCCAATTAAGGCGATTTAAAATTCGTTGGAAAAATAACTCAAATGGCTACAACTTTGCTAGAAACAACTCTTTTTCAATTCAAACGTTTATTGGGTCAAAAATGGATTTCAATCTCCAACTAAAAATTTGGACATCCTTGTGCGATTGAAAATTGATTTGTTTTCACTTCTTTTGATCTTTTGTTGTATCCATTTGACTCCTAACATTCTCGAATCTTCATCGAGAGCTTCGACACAACTTTTAAGTACCTTGATATACAGAATAAGTTGAATGTTGATTTATCTCGATAAGATATGGTACT